TTCCTCTCCATAAGCTAATAATTATAAAGCAGAGGATTTGTGGAAGGAAAACCATATAGTAACTGCTTGTCTCTCTCCCATTCTTTCTTTTTGTAAGGCTCAGTGGCCTGTCCCCATTCCTGGGAGAAACTGATGCAGAGACAATGAATTATGTAGTCAATTGCAACTGGGATTTTGATGCAGAAGCATTTGAACAGCTATCAGAGGAAGCTAAAGACTTTATTTCCAGATTACTCGTGAAGGAGAAAAGGTACCTCTCTGATTGTGAGGACGGTAGCACCTAATAACATAAAGTTCCTTCTAGCCAGCTGTTTGGATTGCAGCCAGCAAGGAGAACTTACTACATGATGGTTTTGTGTGCTGTATCTGTGCTTGCTGGGCAGTTTCTCAGTGACTCAAAAGCCCTTATTTAAAAGGAAAATGTCTGTGTACCTTAACTGAAGAAAGTTGCTTTTCACAGTAGCATCAATACAGGCAGAACAGAGGAAATCTGGAAGGATTTGCTCTGTAGGAATCCGTCCTTAGTATTCCTTCTCTGAGCAAAAGCTGTTTCTATTGTTACTTTGGATTCTCACAAGCCCTGACACAAATTGCAAAAATCTCTTGAATGCCATGGAGGATAAATGGAAGCTGCAGCATTGTTCTCTTCTAAAGTGGTCTACATGCATTTGGTAAATATTAAAGGAGCATTTGGAACTTAACTCTGCGTGTGGCTTCTTAGTCTTGGCTCCACTGAAATAAAAAGCAATTGCACATATGAAACAAGAGGAGAGAATGAGGATAATATTGATGTCAGATCATGGCTATGGGGCTGGGTAAGGGAGTAATTTTTCTCTTGCTGAGCCGTGATACAAAACTAATCAAAACAGGAAATGATGCATACGGTGGAACAGATTGTGTGTTCGAGGGGAATTCAAAGGAGTGCTTAGAATATTAACAACTTCCAGATCATTACCTAAATCAGACAAATCAGTTCTAGTACTAGCTACATTTTCAACAATAAGTCATATGAAAAGCTAAGAATAAACTGAACTTTAGCATATTGCCAGCAGCAGACAACAAAGAGGCTTTTTCCCAGGCTGTGATGATGATTTGCTGTGAGACTGTAAACTTGGCTTTAGAGTTTTCCATTTTTCTGTGCAATGGGAATAAGTACTCCAGGGGGACACTACGCAAAATCTGGTTAGAAGCTGTGAATGTGAGAAGAGTGTTGTCAGTGAGATGCAAAGAGCAATGATTAGTTGTCCCAGTTGTTCACAAGGTGTATGGACAGCCTGCACTCTCCTACAGAGTGGGCACCTTTGCCGTGCTGGGACAATAGGTCTGGCCTCGGGCAAGGTCTGTACCTGCCTCCCCTGACCACTGAAATGAGGTGCAAGCAGCCAGGAATCGTCATCATCTTCTCCGTGGCAGCTCAGACAAAGCTCAAGAGTTAGGCATAGGCTTTTGTTTTGAAAAAAAGGCAAATTAAACTTTTTTTTCTCAACACCTATCCCCCAAGATTTCCTCTGTTGCCATATATTTCTCAAAGCTTTTTGGATAGGCCTTCAAATGTGGGCCGGTGGTTGACTGTCAGGATATAAGGTATGCTTAGCTTGATCCAAGTTTAGGGTGAATAGACAATTGTGCTTGTTAAATATGAGGCACAGAAAAAGCCTGCACTATCAGGACAGACAGATAACACCACAAATATTATTTTTCTGTATGCATGGATTCACTTAGCGAAGTTCTGCATCCACATAACAAAATCACACACAAACTGATGAACCTGGACAGCTGCTGCTTCAAATAAAAAAAATACCCACAAAACCAAACCCAAAAAAGGCAAAATATGGTATTTAACCACAGCTCCATGAACCCCCTGCAGACCCACCAGCAGCTTTTCATACCACTCGCCCCTTACACTGGAGAGCGCAGGATGTCATTAGGATCTTGTGCGTGGGGACGAACAGCATCTCGGAGCATCCCCACTCCCTTGTGTTTGCTCATTTAAGGCAGCTTGCTTTATCAATAACACTGGGCAGCACAGGGCACTGAGAACATGGCAATGGGGGTAGCTGGATTTACACGGCAAATTTCCTCTCCTGCAGCTACCGGATGAGTGCAACACAGTGCCTGAAGCACGAGTGGTTGAACAACCTGCCCGCCAAAGCCAAGAAGTTCAAGCTTCGCCTGAAGTCCCAGTTGTTGCTGCAGAGTTACATGGCTCACAGAAAATGGAAGGTAAATAGACAAAGGCTGGCAAATCTATTCCAGAGGTAAAATCAGCTCAAGATAGGCAGAGCCATGCTCTCCTTTTTTATATGTTGTCTCACTTTTGCCCATAGGCTTCTTTCTTGTAAACATGAGTCTGGGAAGTCTAATTTCAGTTGTAAATTAAGTTTTTTCTCCTGCAGGATGATATTGCTTCTATTTTTAGTAAGCTTGGTTTCAATTTTTACTCCTTATGGTTGGTGTTTAGAAGTTGTAGTTTTTTTCTTTACAAGTTCAGAGGCTTGAGATGCTACTTAGCTTATATTAAATGTTCTTTATTTCCATATTGGAGAGATTGTTTCTATTGACAACAGTTGTATTGTTTTGTTGTCACTGTGGAGTAGGGATACAACATAAGGCAGTTGTGGACCTCCCGTTACACAGAGTAGAAGTCTGGGAGAGAGAAAAGTAGGCTTAATAGCTTAAACCCATCTAGAGAACTCTTGAGGACCTTTCTGGTAACCCCGTGCTCCTTCAGAACTAATTTTTATATGAAGAAGTGATAGATAAGAATTTCTATTGGAGTTTCTATTGGATTGTATGTAGTTGATCCTGAAGGCGAATGTGGTGATCTTGTTACAAATAAGCCCATGGAAATGTGAGGAAAACTCAGCGAGGACCATTTTCTTTTGTCACTGGAGAGTTGTAATTCTTTGCCAAGGAGTTAAACCAGAGGCTTACACTTTTTTCACTGCTGCACTCCAGCTGTTTGGTCGTAGACTTCTGCACTTGCATTTAAAAAAATACATGATCTAAAGACCTATCACTGTACAATTCGTAGTGATGCTGCAGAAGTTCACAGCACCAGCAGCCTGTTCTGCAGTAATCGGTGGTTCCCCAGTACAAAGCTGTTCTACGCTGCAGTCCACACAAGCTGTGGGCCACTGCAGGTAAATGGATTTACCAAGAAAAATATCAATGTCAGCTATAGTTGCACTCACACTTGGACTGTTCTCTTTTGTTCACAGAAACATTTTTATGTGGTGGCTGCTGCTAACAGGTTGAAGAGATTCCAGAGTATGTCTGTCAAGCTTGCATAGGCTTGTATGAAGCATCTCTTGGAGATGGACATCAAGCCATGGAAGAAGGATTCAATGTCTTCAATAATGTCTACCCTTTTGTTTTATAACATAAGTTTTGGGTCTGTCCTCAAATATTATGTGTGTTAGTGCTAAGGTTCCAGAGTGCCTCAAGGCAGAGGTACTGAAATAATTTCTAAAAGCAGAAGCTACCTTGTTTGTTTTCACAAGTTTTCAGTTGTTGTACATAGGGATGGAAAAAAAAATTGTTATTGGGGCTGACTTCTTGCTGAAGGCTTTGATTCTGCGGAGTATTGTTGGTGTTTTTACACCAGAAAACACCTTGTCAGTTTTCCAGTTTCTCACACCAAGCATGGGATCTCTAAAGACTTTTTTCATGATTGATGTATGTCAGTTTTAGAGCACTGCCAAATCAGTGGCCCAAGTTTTCCCTCAGGTGTTTGTTACTTGGAACAAAAGATATCAGATATCCTTTTGTTCTGTAATTTTTTCAAAAAGATTTTTTTTTTTCTCCAAACATGATGATGATTCAGTGCAACTACTCCAAGTTGAATGGTTTTGGTTTGTTCGTGGTTTTTGTTTTTTTTTAATTTTTCTCTCTTTTAAAAAATAGTCACTGCATAGGTACAAAAGAAGAGGAATCCTGCTTTGAAGCAGCTTAATTCAGTTGGTCCACTGCAGCTTTTTCTTGTGGTGAGTTGAATTGAGCTGAATTTATTGAACTCTTGGAAGCAGACAGGTGAAACTGCCACAAATAAAAATCACCTAATGACAGCTGGGTCTATGTAAAAAGATCTCATGCTGTCCAGAAAAGAAGAGATTTCCAGACATCATTTTATATATGTTTAAAATTTGTAAGTGCGTCTCACTGGTTGTGACTGCAGCCCTTGATTTTTTTAAGTTTTAGTTCGAGGATTTTTTTTCTCCACTTTGCCAATTTTAATTAAGTCTGAGAAATTGATATGGTGTGATATGCAGAATAGGTTTTATTGCTGTTCAGGAGCAGGGAAATGGTGTATTGCCAAGCTCTGCCTTTAGCCCAGTTAGGATGCTGAAGCCCTTTCCAACCCCCCATTTTGCTCTTGAACTTTAAATGTTTTCTTCACAATACTAACTTATTTTGTATTTTAAACTTTTCCCTGATGTGTAAAAAGTTGGGCCCACTTGCAGTTGCTCAGCTAGAAGTATAATATTATTTATTAAACAGGTGGTTTCCTTCATTCCTGTTCTAGATTCTGCAAAACTCAGTGTGAGGTGGATGGGCTCTTAGGAAAAACAGAAACTCATAGTACTAAAACGAGCTTTCCAGCAAAGGCATCAAACCCCTGTAAAGCTCCCTTTAACTTTATGGACTTTCACATCCCTTGAATTAGCACAAGTGTTGGTTGCTAATAAAGAGATTTGCAAGACTGGCTTACCCTAGTGTAGTTATCTTTTCCACTCCAGTGCTTCTTGCTTTGCGTAGTCCTGAATTCTGAGGACTCAAGAGAAATAATCTTGAAATCAAATGAAATAATCTTGACAATGTTTCACCTTCTGTGAAGGCCCACTTTTGTTCTTGTTTTCCTTCCACAGTGGTTCTGCATGCTAAATGTGATTATATTAATTGGTCTGTATATTTCTGAACTAATACTAATAAATTCTATTAAAGTGGAACAAGCCTATTCCTCAGTTTTGGTTTTAACCGTCCCACCAAACAAACCTGAAAGCATCTCTCAGTAGGTCTTAACAGAATGCTAATGTGCGGAGTTGGATTCTCTCCCATCCAGAGGACCCTCTGCTACATATTATATCAGATTTTAAACAGCAGACATTGTTACAGCTCTTACTCAATGTGGGTTAATTATCCAATATTTTCTTTGTGCATCAGGTGTTTGTTTGGAGTCCATTCCTCAATGGACTCAGTTACTGTTATGTTTAAGAACTCTTATCTGGAACAAAATTAGCTCTTGCTAACTAAAGAAAAGTTGCTTCAAGTGATTTCCTTTTTCATGCATTGGGAGAAATGAAAGGAAAATAGCCAGTAAGTTTTAATTTTTCAGTTACTGTGTGTTTCTTCCTCTATTTTTGTAAGAGGGTTACACACAGATACTCTCTACTGTGTTGTACATATTTCCTCTCATTTTTCTGCAAAGAGAAGGTGCATCTGGCCAGGAGGATTACTATTCTGTTCCTAGCAGAAAGAAATCCCTTTAGATTTGACAGCCACCACAGTTTTGCAGTACAGTGAAACTCACTTCTACAGCCCCATGGGCTGTTTCACTGTATCTGTGTATTTTGCTTTGGGGTCTACAAAAAAAAGCTCCAAGGACAAACCACAGGTCACCCCTGAGTCCCTGGAACAGAAAGATGACAAAAAGAATGGCCCCATACCCTGATATCTAAAGCAGTTAAGATATCTGCTCTGGTACTGGTGGTGCCATCAGTGTCACCCAGGTAAGCAGGGTTTGCAGTGAGGCACCTGGCAAGCCACTACAGTGCTGCTGAGATGACGCTCGGATGGGGCAGTTTTTCAAATCTAAATGCTCAGGCATGAGATAATTTATTTTGTTTCATATGGACACTTGGGGTTTCCGGGATTGTTTTGAAATGAGGATTTATCAAAGTTAACTTCTCTTTGCACATCCTAGGCTGAAAAGATGCAAGAGAAATTGGCAGAAGGCTTGGACTGGTTTTATTATAGTTACATCAGGCCTGTACTACTAAAAGTTGTGATTTTCCTTCAAAAAGTAGTTAACACAAATTGTAGTTCAAGAAGCTGGGATGGAAGTGTAGGGCTGCAGAAGTTGCCTCTAAGAACTACACAGCAGGGCACTCTGTCCTCTTCACTAAGTTTATGACTGCAAGATGCAGTCAAGACAAGATCCTTGTCCCCTGCCTATCTTCCTTCTTAAAGCACAGACCTCTCCTGTATGTCTTTTATTTTGCACTCTAAGGGTTTTATATATGACAGGTATCAATAACCTGATGTCACAATCCAGTATCTTTATTGTTTCTTGAAATATTTGGGCTCCCTTACAAGCACAAGATACTTTAGTCCCATACAGGTTATAAAAACAAGTCAAATTCAATGACTAAACAATATTTACCCAACAGTAAAAAAAAAAAAACCAGTCGTAATTCCTCTGCTGGTTTTGCAGTGTAACAAGGCACAGTTAGTGCTCTCCCTCTTTTTTCACTGACTACTTCCAGCCAGGGGCCAAGGACATTGAACTTATTTACACTTAACACAACATCAGAACGTGATCTGCTTCTTGCAGCAAGAGAACAAAGCTATTCTACCGCCTAATGCCACAGCTGCTCAGGTACCAGCCTGGTGAGTAGTCAGACTTCTTGTAAAATCACCTCAGTTCTGGTGTCATTTACTATACATTCTTAAAAACTAGCTAATAAATAAAATCAGCTGGCTACCAGGCAGCCATCACTCCTATGCTACTGGACCTCTTGTTAGAGCAGAGGGAGAGCTAAAATCATGAGCAAGCAGCAGTGATATTACTATGTGGCACAAGAGACAGTACTCCTACTTGCCTCTTGTGCCTTAGCAGCATTTTCCAGGATTTTCTTTTTCCATTCTTCATAGTCTTCATTTGTTTCAGTCTTTGGCCGCTTACATGGCATCTCCTCATCATCGTCAGACCCTATGAGAGAAGGAGAAAGTCCATGACAGGCAGTATGTTGGGCATAACCATGGCAGTGAGCAATTGAACAGACACAAGCACAGGGTCTGTCCCTGTGTTATTTAATCCTGTGGCTTGCTGCTGCCCTGCACCTGCCAGAACAGTCACCTCTTCACCTTTGTGTCTGAACGGAACAGTTGTTCTTAATTCTGCTAGCACTACTCAGAATAAACACCCCTGAACTGCTAGGTTCTCTTTGTCCTTTCATTAGTCAGTGGTTTGCAGAATGCAGTAAGCTGCTGAGAACTGAACGTTATGGCATATTCCACAACTGAAATATTAAGCGGCAATAAAGCTCAGACCTGCTCTGGTGAGGTGATTTTAGGTCATAGCTAAACGCAAACTTACCCTCTTCCTTCTCACAGTGCTCCAGGCTGGTCTGCAAGCTTTCTGGTGTCTCTGCAGCTGGTGGAACATCATCTTCTGAAAAAATAAGTAAGTTGCTTTACTTCTGAAAGGTGTTTGGGGCCCCAAGGGGGGGTGTTCTACATGCAATTCTTTGACAGCAGTACCACCTTCCGAAAGTATTGGCTCCTAGTCAGAGCAGTTCCCTGGTCCAGACTGATGCCCAAGCTGTGCGTGCAGAGGTGCCAGCACACTTCAAGGGCTGGATGGACTGGTTGGCTACTTCAGCTCGCCCTGCTGCTGCATTTGTAACCACAATGATGCACCATGGTCATACCCCCAAAACACACTGCTACCCCCACCTTGAGTACTGTGGCAGGATTCTCAGTTATTTCTTTCCCTTCTATCCCATCTCCTCGCTTTGTACAGTAGATGCCCACAACATCCAGCAGGGCTGTCCATGTTACAGATGCAGTCTTCCCTGAACTGATAGAGAAACTCCCAGCTGCCTTTAGCCACTTCAGTGGTCGGGTAGGGTTTTGGTTTTTTTTTATAGGGCACTGCACTATGCAAAGGTCCATGCCTAGGGAAACTTTTGGTTTGAATTCAAGCAGCATGTTCCAGAAAACTCCATGATATGAAGCGTTGAAGACAGGGTGAAGCAAGGGTAGTGTCAGTGGGAGAGTAAGAATGAAAGCCTGGGAAGGGAAAAAGGAGATAAGTAGGAAGGAGCAAAGATGTAAGGACAGGAAGATGTGTCGCATTTCAATCTTCCTCCTCCACAAAAAGGAGTGTCGAGCTGCAGATTCAACAATGGGTGAGAAAGATTTCTCATGTCTGCCCGCTGAATGTGACAGGGTGGTGTTAGGTAACAGCTGAATTACTATTAGAAGAGCAAGGCTTAGGCTTGGTAATCCTGCAGTGGGGGAAAGGAAACACAGAAGTGAGTCAGTCAAACCAACAGAGGTAGCAAGATGTTTATGTTAATTGTGTGTTGTGTTGCCATGCTGCTGGGATGCAGAAAGCAAGCAAGAAGGAGGAATCCAAGATAGGTCAGGCAGTATGGGAGAAGCAGGGAATAAACTACAGCAGCAGAGAATGTAAGGAGCAGTGAGCATCTGGGAAGAGAGGAAATAACTTATTTTCAGCCTTGCTACATGCTAGGCTGTTGTGACTTCCCTAGGAGCCACAACTGTGATTGGGAACTGGACTGCAGGAAACACGTTGGAATGGATGGGCAGGTTTGGCTGAAATGGAACAGCTGAAAATTATCAGAATTAGATCAGGAGTGGAAAAGGATGGGGCACTGTGAGGCCAGGCAATGGGTATGCTGTCTTACAGGGATAAAGCCAAAAACTTACTGCTGAGTTTCTGGCTTATCTTCTCCAGCTGATTGCACAGACGGTCAAATATTGCTTTTTTTACCCCAGATGTAGCCAACATTTTAGTTTTGTCCACTTTTAGCTTCAAACACCTACAAGAGAAAGTTAAGTTATCTCTGCACAAAGCAACACTCCAGCAACTATCACTCAGGTGAGGTGACATTTATACCACCACTATGTGTGAGAATGAGGAAGGTACACCTGAGTCTTTGTTCTATCTAATCCTTGTCTCACTCCGAAACAAACTTGCTAGAAAAATAGACCCCTGCACCATTCAGTCAATACAGCTCAGAAGTTGAGACCCAGGGTTAGTTCAAGTTACATGAGGAAATTCTATTAGGAAAAGGTACTTTCCAGGTTTTGAGGGAATCAGGACAAAATCCCACTACTGCAAAAAAAGCTGAATGGGACCCCTGTGTCAAAAGAATATTTGTCAGGAGCTATGCAACTACACAGCACCTGAATTGGTTCATAAGATTGTTACACGGCATAATACTGAAAGGGAAGATATTTACATGCAAGCAAATTCTTACAAATGGTTGGCTGAGGCAGGTGCTCCTGGCACCTATTTTCCAAGCTGATGCAGACAGCCCTACAGCTATCAGATTCATCTCCCAAAGGTTTTTCCTTCTTCAGAATGGCTGCTTCTTGGTCCTCAGAAAGCCCCAGCCATTCTTGCACCTTGAGCAGCATCTCACCAAAAGCCACTTTTTGCTTTGTTCACAGCTCAAATCTATCCTGATAAGGGAAAACAAATTCCCACTAAATCTGAAAATGTTAGTAAGGAATTATGTTATGCTGGTGCTATGGGTAGGCTGAGAGGACGGAAGGTGAAGTGCAAAACACTAACAGGAGTTCTTCGGCTATGGCCATTGATGTGACCTAATGGAGCTACCCACAGCATCCACACCATGGAAGACAGATTTAATTTATTTTAGGAGAAGTAACTCTAGATTCTTTTCTGTATATTTAATACAATACTTCTGCTTTCTGCTGAAGGCAAAGACAGCATAGGTTGGACACTCCACTGTAAGGAAAGCCTGGTTTGCTACAGCTGTCTCCATTTCCAGGAGTAAGGCAGCAGGATGTGCTCAGCAAAACCATTCAGACATGCTGAATGAATCCCTAAACTATACTCACCTGCATGCAGTGAATAGTGCAGCTGTTAGAAAAAGTGGTTTTGAGAAATCAAGGTCCATTTGCTGTGCTTCAGAGAGGCTGGATTCATACCTGAACAACAACGAGAGTGAGAATTGTATAGTGCATTTGCCACAAATGAAGCTGTTGAAATGAATTTGTCACATGGCATGAAGCAGTTGAGCAGGTCTCCTGTTGTATCACTTGGTCCTTTGCAACCCAGTCAAGCAGAAACAGTTGCTACTGGCTGAGAAGAGCAAGAGAGTCTAGGGAAGAGCCACCTCCTCTTTTTGAGTTAAAAGTATTTTAAATTAGGGATCTGGATGAAGGCATGTCAGTAAAATCTATTTCTTGTGTTCCACATCCACACAGTACTTTAATCTTTACACTAAACCTAAAAGTTACAATGAGATGTTTTGGATAAATCCATTCTTTAATAGAGAGTACAATTATAGTTTCTTTGATTCCTGTAATATGTGTATTACACAATGAAGGCTTAAGTATAGAAAATGATGTGATGGACATGCAGCACTAAATAATTTGATTTTTTATTGACCACCTGCCCCCAGACTATTTTTTTTTCCATTTGTATTAAGCACTGACAAGCATACATGGCCTTTGTGCACTGACTTGCAACTCAGAATATTCTAAATCCCTAACAGCATTTAAACATGTGTTCTCAGGGCGACAGCACTCCACAACAGAACTCTTCAGTGATTGCTCTTGTTAAAGCAGATGTTACAGACTGCAAAATTTTAGTTAGGTCTGTTGGATCTCCACTGAAGTGTTCTACCTATTTTTACAAGTAGAGTAACATGTATTTTAAGAGATCTGCTTCTCTAGAAGGGAGGATTTTTTTCTACTGAGCATTACTTCTGGACTGTGACATGATCAGCAGTTAAATGCAGGATAGTGTGATGCTATGGACAAATACAGGGACCAAGAGTCCTATCTTTTTTATATTATTCCCAGTTGAAGAACTGGAACTCAGACAATGACTGAGATTCACAGGCTAAGTCTTTATGATGTGTTTTCTAAAAAGTGGCCTAGATAAATGGTTGGATTTTCAGTGCTAAGAACTTACCTCACCATTCCAGTCAGTGGGAGATACCTGGCCCTTCCAACCATCAACCTCTTGTACATCTAATGAAGAAAGAATCTTACTAGTGATTACCTGTGTGATCCCAAAAGCTTCCTTACCTCTGTAGTATTTTTGAAGCGGTGTTCACTGCCTCCGTGCAGCCGAATTGCACAGCCAAGTCTCGCATTCCCAGTCTGGGGTTCATGTCTAGCAAACACTCCAAAGACTTCATGGAGCTCTGGTACGTTGTCTTGTTCAAACCAGAGAGTTTAACAAAATTGCTCTTTCAAGAAGACAAAGATAAACCCCAAGAATTAGTGAGATTCCTTCCCAATGTCTTATTCAGGCATCCAAAATAGATTAAACTACACAACACTTGAAAATAAAGTTCAATTGCTATATTAAACAAATTTGTGCAATGAGTGATGTAAGTTCTGACTTCACATGGAAAGATTAACCACCTAGGAATGCTACATCTTTGAATGCAGTGTTATTTTTAGACCATTTCATGGGAAGGGAGGTTTGTCTTTTCCATATAATATGACATGGCCCTTTTATCACAAGGTTAAAAACAAAAGCAACCAAGGTCTGGGCAACCTGAAGAGATGAGCAATATTTTCATGCTCCTTCTCACAGGGTCAGGTGCAACTAAATTCCCCTCTGTCTGTCAATGAACGACTTTAGCAGCTCGGTGCCATTTACCTGGCACGTCTTGCAGACGGAGGTTTACAGGCAGAGAGGGATTCTGTGAAGCTGCTGCTTCTCTCCCCCAGTGAAAAGGACAGATCTTAATCCAAACATCCTTGCTGGTACTTTATGTTACTGAAAGAACTAAAATCATAGCAAAGCAACCTCAGCTTGTGCAGCGCCTACCCCACTGCTCTCAGTTTGCCCCGTTTGAGCAGCACAAGCTCTCACGGCGCTCGGCGGCACAGGGGCTCTGGGGCAGTGCCAAGCTGCTCCTGCTCGAAGAGCGATTTTAGGGGGCTTGCG